CCCCCCCCGTCTCAGAAAGCGTCTTGATCTACCATGTACTAAGGGATAAGTCTGCTACGATTTAATGACATTGAAAAATGTTCATGAAGCGAGGTATGCACGGATATCTCGTTGATTTCTTAAGTATTTCGCATTTATTTAAGCATTTGTCTGACTATATTATTATACAACTGTATGGCGTGACCGAGAAATGAAGTGTTCCCTACAGACGAACAGAAGATGCTGACGAAACATGATAGACAACCAAAAGAAATAAAATTTGTTTCGAAAACGCACGGGAAATATAACACTGATCATAACTTATACAGTTATGTCTTTACCTCTGTTCGCACTGTACGAATTCGTTGATCAGAGAGCACTCTCTTACCAATGAATCGGGTCAAGGACCCTCAGGTGTGTGAAGAATGTTGAGTTGAATTCATAAGGCTGCTCGGTTTAACACCATATAAAGTCAAAACATTTCGACCGACGATGTCAAGCAGTTGTGGAAGATCTCTCTGTTTGTGGCATGCTCGTAAGCGATCGACCGGTTTTCCTCCACAACTCCGTCAACAGCAGTTACTTCGTCTTCACTTGAGAGTTAGCAACTGCCGTTTCGTGCGGAAATTGCTTCAGCAATGAGCTAAACTGTCGTCAAAGTGCCATTTCTTAACAAAGCCTTCGTTGACACTTCCCAAGGCTGCTGACGATATGAATTTTAATTACGTTTACATGACAGGACTTCGTCTGATCAGTGCCACTCTTCAACAGGTCGAAGCGTGGCAGACAGACAACGCAAAGACTTCAAAAGTTGTGTATGGTTCAATCATCAGGTAGACCGCATAAACTCGCTACTCGACATGACCTACAGAGGTGAATCGCGGTTTCCTGCCAGTGTGCAGCAAAGCAAAGAGAGATATGCAGCGAATGTTCAAGGTCTAACTTTGGGATCACGACACACTGAACAAGGGACTACACTGCCGAACGTGAATTCCATCTGCCACGACACAAAACGAGCATTAACCTGCCATGTGACCCGAATGAGACAGGGGCTGCTCAGTGGGTAGAGTTTTGGATTCACAACACAGAGGTCTCGGATTCGAGCCTCAGTCAGACCACGAGCTTTTCTGTCTTTCAAGGATGATAAATGAGTACCACTCTGTGGGAAGGAAGCAGGAGTCTTCACGCAATGCTTGCCAGATAGCTACCGTCGACTCCGCTTTTAAAACAAAGCACTCGTAATAGAGGGCTTATGATTGACAATGAAATCAGCGCCTTCACGCATTTTTCATTAAAAGGGCACCAAAAATAGCTCCTTCCTGAAAGCATAAGGAGGATCGACCTTCAACGGTTACAAACTTTCTATTTTCCCTTTCGTATAAGAATTGCGAATAAGGTTCTGATTGACCACAAAGCCCCAACGGTGGTCCAAGAGCGCTGAGACAACTCAATTGCCGGCAATAGAGGCAAAAAGCGAAGAAGAAGAAAGAAGATTGAGGAGCATCGATTTGCGCTTGTAGCGCTTCCACAACAGGGAAAAACGAAAGACAAGAGTACTTTTTCCATGCATCAGTTCACACTCTGGGCATTGTGAACCCTTCCAAGAGAAGTAATACAGAGTGTCAAATTCAGTTTGTGGAGTGCTCAGAACTACAACAAGTTCGATAAAGAATAAAGCCCCTTCAATACGTCTGATATTGGCCTTTGATGACTTACTGGCCAACCATTTAATACCCTGCGACACTGCATGATGCCTCTTCGTTACTTCTGACTACAGTACGAAGGCATAGAAGGTCAAGTATGACTGGTAGTATACTTATGACTATACTACTAGAGGTGCTACGGTAGATTCGCGGTCAAGGCTTGCGTTATGAGTTATAAAAAGCCATCCGTCAAAGCACGTTTCTCCGCAAAATGTGCATTAGGACAAAACGCAGAAACGATAAACAACTTCTTCAGTCCACATTATTACCGTCATGCGGGCAACTTGAAGTTCCTAGGTCTTATGACTGCGTGTTTGGCAGTACGAGAAGCAAAAATCGTATGGTATCGATTTACAACCAATACGATGTTTCAACTGAATAAGCATTGGTCATCACCAATACAGGTATTCTTTTGTTTCAGATGGTACCAGCCGTAGAGTCAAGCGACCGGTCAAAGTGTCAGACATCATTAATCTGGGTACTCGGTCCTTGACCCTTATAATTCAGATGACGATACCAACAATAACGATGCACAAACAGAAGAAACTATCCGTACTGAGCGATGAGGTGATCTCTTGTGAACGCTTCTGCGAGGAATGCACCTTGAACTGGTTTCCATGAAGTCAGTTGCTGTGAATAATTTTTTTGTTTTAAAATTAATGTTTATCCCATTGTTTCATTTATAGTCAACTGTTGGACGAGTCAAGATGAAACGCAGCCATAGATGATGCTCGCTTCAAACGGCATGGCTTTGTTCCTCATCTACTCTTGTTCAACCAGGCCAGAACACCATATCCTTATTATTTGCAAGTCACCGACTTATCCGTTTCTCGACTGGTTTCACTGAAGCACAGGCGTTAATTCATTGCTGAGGGCAATTAGTCGGTTATAAGAGAAAATTTACCGCGCGCATTAGGTTTAAACCCGGTAGTCTAACGTTCGATGTAAACCTACTGACAGAATGCGCCACTTACCCTCTATCACCGTTCATGCAGGTAGACTAACAATTTCGCAGAACAGCTGAACATTCTGGCTAAGTAGATGACAGCTGAATATCGGTGGGCAATGGTAGGCACTATGGCGAACATGAAACTGAAATAGGTGACAAACATATGAATGTTGATCCGCATCTGTAAAGCTGGTAATGATAGTTTTTTTGATGCAGTTCCACGTAGGAGAATGGTGGTTCGGCATAAGTCTGGGATAACTGTTTGGACGGGCCAGTGGCCGCGTTAATCCACAAAGAATGCCCGATAAAATGTTTTCATCATCTCATCTACCTCCTGAGCAGAAAATTACGATTCATGAAGTGAGGACGCTTATTCCGTAGCAAATACAGAACAGTAACAACGCAAACAGTTTATTGAACGGAATATCATCCAATAAAATTATGAGCATCAGCATTACCGGCAGCGAAATCTAGGAAGTTGATAATGTATTGAGTGGATAATGTACCTCGATATGTGACAA